TAGCAGTCGAACATTTTGGTGCCAACATCATAGCAGATATCGATACTATGTTACCAATGGAAATTGGTAACATATTAGTTAATATGTACACGAGAGAAACGTTTTGGTACAGACTAATTAATAGATTAATGCGTGATCTGAATGTAATTAACATTGAAGAAATGAGATCAATAGGACCTTTCTGCTATCTACTCCGATGTTACCTGAACCAGATTCCATTTCAGCCAAAAAGCAGTCATTTACTTTATCGTGGCTTAAACATGGAAGACGAACAAATTCAAGAGATCATTAAATCAAACGAATTTGTAAAGTGTTTATCTTTCACATCAACCTCTACAAGTCGTAAGCTGGCCGAGTTGATCGGTAATACACTACTGACTATCGAACTGGATGTAGATGAAAGCGGAGTTGTTTCCGAAATGGTTTACTGTAGTTCCAGTATCTCTGATATGTCTGCAGTTCCAGATGAAGACGAATTTTTGATTCGACCACCAGCAGCCTTTCATTTTATTAAATATGAATATGATGCTTTAAGCCAGAAACATATTATTTATTTGAAAACGTAGAAATAGTTCGTCTAATTCATATGATCGATGGACGAAACGCGCACATACTTTTCTTTATGTCGAACACAGAATCAATTTCTTATTCATGATAATCGACCCTTGAGTGATGAAATACAACTTGCAATGAACGATCTTTATTCGACAATATGAAGTAACACTTTATTGAAGAGGAATTAGAAATGCATGTAGTTCATGCTTATAGTAAGAGACAATCCACAGGAGTGATGCCTTTAAAAGAAGGAAGACAATGAAACACACTTCTGAAATTATTTTCTTACTCGTCGACTTTTTTCGTTCTACGAATCTGGTTCATCACTGCTGCATGCTTTTAAGTTTTTGTACCATATAATGCATATTGACAAATGTCCATAGAACAGATAAAAGCAGTATTATAGTTCAATTTCATTACAGAAAAAAAAACATAAAGATCAAACAACTCGTAAAATAAACAGACATGGTTAATTCTTGATTGTCGTACCGGTTTGAATATTCTTTTATTGGAAGTTGACGTAGTCGAATAGTTTTATAGAGAAGCACTCTCAAGGCCAAAACTAAATATGTACGTGCCAGCACAATATCTAATGAATGTGTTATATTCGAGACGAATCCTTGTAACAAAAATTCGCTCATGATTACTCATATGAATAAACTTATGTGTCACAAACTATATTCTATAATATGAAAGATTTCGTCATGTTAGCGTTTCTCATCAAAACTTTCACTAAATTTAAATATTTAGTTTTCTTATTTGATTCATGATCGACCTTTTCGACTAGTAGCATTGTCATGAACTAACCAATTTCATTGTATTCGGATGCAATGGCAATCGAGTTTGGTAGATTTCAGCAGATTCCTTATCAAAAAATTCAGATCAACTTTTTTTCCAGAGCATTGTTATAATTTTCCGGCTGGTTTCAGTCGTCTTTTCATGGAATGTAAGGGAAGAGACGGAAAAGTTTCGAAGAAAAACCGATTGGTATTCTTGTAAAGAAAAAAAGTAAAATGCAAAGGAAATTGACACGTGATGGCAACAAAATAATGTCTTCAGCTATTCACCATCTTTATTTTTAGTGTTTATTTCATGGAAGAATCATTTACCATCTTATCGAACCTCAATCACATGAACAATTTATGTGAAGACAGTATTATTATTTGGTTAGATAATACCATTGGTACTTCAGCAGGAAATCAATGGTTCAACATCACTGTCAATTTAAGCAAGTCTTTCTTATCGTCACGGGTACACATAGCAAGGATTTTGACGTGACATTGTTTGATAAGCTAATCGACCATGTCTTGATTTATATTTACATGTTCTACCCAACTGCGCATCAGAATTTTTGTGGTAATATTACACAATATTTTCATGATGCAAATATGTTAATCGATAAAATACGTAGCGATTCTATGGCCTTTAAAATCGGTGCAGTATCGGATACTAAGGTCCGCTGGATGCAAACTGATGGAAATACGACACGCTCTATAGATCCGCAATTGATTAAAATAAAATGTATGGAAGCCATATTCGAAATTCTTCACCAACTACCACCGCCACTTGATCAATCACGCACGAAAATGATCGAATTTTGTAGATTATATTACGGAGAGAATGTTGTTCACCAAAGAAACATTACCAAGTTTGAAATGCAGTATCAGCCATTAGATGCCATTCAATGATACAGAAGAGACGGTTTTCTATATCTTTTATGCAATAGAACTTTCCGAACAAATGCTATTGATGCAATCATGTATTTTAGTTTTTTCACTATTGATCTTTACAATCAACTAAAAAAACTACATTACCATCAACAAAATCAACGAATATTTCCACGTGTTGTTTACCGAGGACAATATATAAGTCGAGATGAACTTGAAAAACTAAAGCATAACGTTGATGGATTCGTCTCACTTAATTCCTTTTGGTCAACAAGGAACACTAATCACATAGCAAAAACGTTTATCAACAGAGTACCAACTGCAGATCGCGTATCGGTCATGTTTGAAATCGATATTGATTCGAACTTCTCTTCATCTAAGCCATTTGCCGAGGTGTCTGGTCTGTCTTCTTTTACCGATGAACGTCAAATATTATTTCCTTATGGCATAATATTCCGCATTATTTCATGTGAAAAAATTAACGATCACTTCTGGTCATTTCGACTGACATTATGTGATCATTCAAGCTTAATTGGGCAAACTGTCTCGGACAATTTTGATGTGATCATGTTACAACTATTAGAAATCTTGCCACAAATTTCATCCAAAACTAACAAAGCCAATGATCGAATGCTCGAACGATGTCGATTGTATTATAAGGATGATCCAAGAGAATTGGCTAAAATCGATGAATTCGAAAAGAGTTATCGGTCTGATTCAGCTATCCGTTGGTATACAAAAGACTCATCTCTCTATCGTTTGTTGAACATGGCATTAAGATGTGAAAATATTGATATGATTATTGATTTTCGATATTTTATCATCGATTTATATGAACAACTCACACTGTCACACATTCAATATGTGAGAACTTTTAAAGAACCAATATTGACTGTTTATCGAGGTCAAAAGATGAGTTTATCTGAATTACGTCGACTGAATCATGATGTTGGACGATACATTTCTAATAAATCATTTTTTTCCACTACATTGTCAAGTGTAGTTGCGTTATCCTTCGCTGAACTGAATCAATCCGATCGAGAACATCTTCTAGTATCTGTTCTATTTCAAATCGATATCGATATGACTATGCGAACATCATCGAATAGAAACAATCTATTTGCAAGTATTATACATTTAAGTCACTATTGTGATGAAGAAGAGATACTATTTATGGCAAATACAACGTTTCGAGTTAAGTCTGTTACAAATCATAATGAAACGATGTGGATCGTTCATTTAACTCTATTGAATCAAAATGATGAAGATAGCAAAGAAATGAAAGTAATGAATCAATACCTCGATTATCTACTAAAGCTTGTCAACCAGCAGCGTGAACCATCTGTTTGGTCTTTATTATCAAAGAACAATGTAGAAAACCTATCTTCTGGTTTTTGGGCGTCGGTGGTGTGTGGGTGTGTGGGTGTGCGTGTGCGTGTGCGTGTGGGGTGTGGGTGTGGGGTGTGGGTGTGGGTGGGCGTGGGTGTCGGGCGTGGGTGTGGGTGGGGTGTGGTTGTGGGTGGGTGTTCGTGTTGGTCTCCTCCTAACCTCCGCACCCGCACCCGCACCCACATCCACATCTCACACCCACACCCCACACCCACACCCACCCACACCCACACGCACACCCACCCTACCCACACCCACGCACTCCACCCCACACCCCACACCCACCCACACCCACACCCACACGCACACCCCCACCCCCACCCATACCCACACCCACATCCACCCACATCCACACCCCACACCCACCGACACCCACACCCACCCCACACTCACATTCTCACCCACCCCACCCACACCCGCATCCACACATTCACACCCACCCACACCCGCACCCACCTACACCCACACCCGCAACCGCACCTATACCTCACACCCATACCACAAACGTACACCCAATCGTACACCATCGCTCAAACCTATGATCATACCCCATACCCCATATCCATTCTCTCTTAACAAAGATTCTGATTTCTGATATAGAAATATAACTGCTTTCCAGTTATTAATTGGCAGCCATTCTTTGTTAATCAGGCAAAACGCTTGTCAGAGAGTGATAGTGAATGACATTTTCGACAATTTCTTGGAATCGATTCTTATTTACTTTCCCCACATCATTCTTTGTTGTCAATGATTGTTTGATTAAAAAGTAAATGTTGCCAGTTCGCATTACAAAAGGAAAACGTTGAATTTATGTTCTATTTAATGGCACCTCATAAAATAAACAAATCTTGCTGTGTATAGGGGTGTGGGTGTGAGTTTGAGTATAGTGATTCGTGACGACATCCACCTACACCCACACCCCGCACCCACATGCCCACCTATACCTCACATCCACACCCAAACCTACACCCAATCGTACACCATTGTTGAGACCTATGATCGTAGCCCATACCCCACGTCCATCCTCTCTTAGCAAAGATTCTGATTTTCGATGTAGAAACATAACTACTTTTCAGTTATTAAAATAGGCAGCCATTCTTTGTTAATCAGACAAAACGCTTGTCAGCGATTCATAGTGAACGACATTTTCAACAATTACGTCGAAACAATTCTTATTTACTTCTCCCACATCATTCTTTGTTGTCAATGATTATTTGATGAAAAAGTAAATGTTGCCATCTCGCATTAAAAAGAGAAAACGTTGAATTTTGGTTTTGTTTAATGGCACTTCATAAAATAAACAAACCTTGCGGTGTATAAAATAAGAGAGCTACAAATTTTTCATATTGTTGCAGTTGTTTGGCTTAAGATTATAGAAAGTTTTGATTCATGTATAGTGAGATGGATATGATGGGTGTTTATTTTTTTACAATTCTTATAATATTGACTCCAACAATAAATTTCGTCGATGGGTCACACTTTCGAGGTGGTATAGTCAGTTGGTGAGCTATTATCGATTTTTTTGATAACGAATCTCGTTCCAATCATTGATTTAGGCGAGCATGGAACACAAATCCATCGGGTACGACGGCTTCAATTTTAATTCATCAACGATTTTCATGGCGTCGTAATTATTGGGGGGCAGCAAACAATTGTACGGACCTGACGATAGCCCAACAAGGACTAGTCGGTTCAGGCACGGGCTCGTCAACATGTGTTGGCGGTGGTAATTGTGCATCGCTCTCTCCGATCAACGCCGATGTAAAATGTACCGACTACAGTTCCGCAGCTAATTGGGCATCAGGCGAACGATACGACAACCGAACTCTTTTCCTTAACCGTTCATATACTGTCACATTCAAGAGCAATGCATGGATGCAGCTAGCAATTGGAGGAAATGGCGATTGGTATGTGACTGGAAAAATCGATGTAACAGTGAGACCAGATGGCATTTTGAATACTTCTCCTGTGACTACAACGCTGCCAGTCATCTATCGAGAAATAAATGTGCAACACGTGCATATTATTCAGATGTCGGATGCTGATTCGACTGACACACTTCGATGTCGATGGTCGACGAGCAATACAATGAGCTCTACAAATTTGAATGGATACAATGAGTGTGGTTCAGTTTGCTCACCAAGTCTCCCTGGTGGGTTTCAACTCTTCTCGGATAATTGCACCTTAGTGTTTAAGCTCAATAAAACTGATTATTATGCTGTTGCATTACAAATTGAAGACTATTATACATCCACATCACCGACACCCATGAGTTCCGTTCCTATTCAGTTTTTATTCTATGGAACAATAGCTCCTTTAGGATGTTCCACACCACCATCGATCATCGGTGTTCGACCAAATTTAGGTTCGACTTTGCATTTTTGTCGTATTTCATTCTTTATTCATTTTCTATATTTTTATTCTCTAGCATGTATAGGGACGCCAATAGGTAGAACTTTCTTCATTCTAGCACATTAATGTTTAGTAATATTTCTGATGAATAGGTAATCTCACAAACGAAACGGTCATCGCACAAGTTAATTGTCCCAACAAAACAATAGTGGATTTTACAACAAGCTCGCCTATTGGAATGCGAAAGACAACTATTACACAAATAGGCACAAGTAAGACATTTTTTATAACTCTTTCTATGTGCTCTCCACATTCGCAGACCTTTTCTCCATCAATCTTATTTGGACCCCGACTCCTGATCAATACGGTCCTCAAGGATTTTGTGCTGGAGCAGTTGACTCATCGGACGTCCAGTCAGATCCATGGTGCATTACTTTTTTGGTTGGTTTTACGGCGCCTAATCTTCAGGTACCAGTGCTTGTTCAAGGTTCAGCATCTCCAATAGGCACTGTATTCGCTAATCACACAATTTTCTCCATCCAAAGTATGCTATCTAACACTTATGAACATCGCTCTCATTTCATCTTCACATTTGTAGGTGTTAATGGGATGGCTGTCAATCGTCCCACTCGCAATGGAACATTTGTAAATTTCAATGACAAGACACTGAACAATACACTTGTTTTGCGATACGATTGTGGTTGGTCACCTAACGTAATCTATTCTGGAGACACTCTTATTATCTATGCACCTTACTTGTGGATCCCCGGTCACACTTATTATGTGACATTTGATAGCGGTTTGGATTGCTTTCGATTTATTGATCCTAGTAACATTTCTATCTCTGTATTTTTTTCTATTGTAGGAGCATCGAGTGGTACAGATTTTTGTCGTAAGTACATATTTCTTAATAGGTTAATATATTTTCATGAAAGAATGATTAGATGCTGAATCCGCACCCATTACGGATCCGAATTTTTGGGTCTTTGACATTTGGAACCCAGCTCTGTCTAGTACAACTACAACGACTACAACGCCACCTACTTCTCATACTGTTACTACACGAGTACGTATGAGATGACTTCTTCTCGACTATCACTTCTATTATCACTTGTCTAGCCGATGAGTACAACAACACCTATGGCGAATTTGACAACGACTGGTATTGTGATCATTACTTCTACTTTAATTTCAACTACATCAACCACATCAACCACCAGTACAACCAGTGTTTCAACAAGTTAGTGTGATGCATTGTCTTTTCTTTATGATAGGGAAAACAAAAAAGCTCTTTCAGAAAAAACTCAACAACGTTCTCTCTTTCATCCAATACTGTAGTATTTGCTGTCGTCACTCTAAAAATTCTATTTTAGATTTTAATTGAGGAGGATGATAGTTATAAGTCACACGATTGTGTATGAAGCAAAACATATAGCTTGCCGTATTGATTTTTCAGTTTGCAAAGCTTTGTGACTGCCTTAGTTGAGTGATGAGATCTTATAAAAACGCTTACTATTTGTGCCGATAATAAGGGCACGTCGCATCTTCACCTTTTATCCGTTCATTGGTATCAGGTCATCCGGTCATCATTTCATTAGACGATGTGATCTGACAACCGACAATAGCTGTCTGCTCACTGTACTCTGTCTATTATTGTTTCTCTTCTCATATCTCTCTCTTATATACAGTCGTGATGTATGTAAAGTAGTTAGAACTGAATGATGGAGTAGTATAGTGAACATCTTACACTGAGGATACCCGCGAGGCTGCTCCTCCAGTCTCTCATTGTTAATCAACAATAAATTAAATACTGCAGTAATAGCGAAACAGTCTATCCATATTTCGTTACACTATTATTTAAAGGAATCTAAAATGTTCCAACGTAACTGTTGACACATTTTATAATCAGTATATAGAAATAATAAAAACCCTGATTAAACCGCCACAGGCTGATGCTATTATCAATGATAATATTACTATTTTCAGAACCATACATATCAAATTTGATATCAGTTGTATTTTTTTTTCTATGCAGCAGTGACAACGACAACTACAACGGTCACGGAGCCATCGATAGACGTATTGACTCCTGAAGATTTTGAAAAACTCTGTCGTCAGCCCGTGGCCATCATGAATGCTGTTACTATCATATTAATGATTCCGATCAATATGATTGGCATGTTTGCACTCTTCACGAAGATGGACAGTTTATTCAATCCCAAAAAATTAGAGTTTCAACAACGTTTGGCTCGCAGGATACAATGAAAAGCCTAAACTCGATAATAATTGATACCATTAACATGAGCCATCCATTATTCTGCATAAACAAGAAAATATTATTTGCGTTCTCTTCTCTCGGAAAATAATTGACGAAACAAATTTTGATTGAAATACCTTTAAAACAATAATATGTGTTCCATATCGATAATTCTATGATGCCTTTAATGTCTTTTTTTAGAATAAATGGAATCTCGTCTTATGAAGTATGAATATATATGTGTGTGTACACATCAAAAAGCAATCATGCGTGAGAACTGTTGTGTATGTTGCTGAGAAAGTGATACTTCTAGGCATCAAAATAAGGACATACTAGCTGAATGCATTACTCGTAGAGTTAATTGCATTCAATCTCATTCTATCCTCTGATATAGAAAGGGTGCTTGCGTGTGGTGAACAGAAGACTAACATCCACACCCACCGTACAAAATGTCGTTCTTTCCCTTATACATAGTTGGATGTCTCTCCTCAGCCTAACCCCTTCTATCTAATAATAAAAAATACTGAGGAATTTTATATGGAAATCTTGCAAGCTGTTATTGGACTCCTCCAAAGAAAAACTCAGCCTTTGTTCACTTCTGATACTGATAGACTAGAGACAATATCAAAACAGCAATACCTATTATATCATGTGCTAACGAAGTTTTAGTCCAATTCTTCATATTTCCGTTACCTCCACTTGGCTACCACGAAAGATAATAATAATCTAAGAACGTTAACTTTGATCGAAAGTAAAAATGTTGAAAACTCAGGTAAAGACTTCTACATAGTTACTTCCTGAGAAAATTTTTAAAAATCAAGCAACTAAATTCAAATCCAATGACGCGTTTTGGAAGAAGAAACAATAAAAAAGGAGCAAAAAGACTTCGATATATTAGTTTACCAACGTTAAATTATCTTCTTATTGGACTATCATAACTACTTTTTGGTTTCAACTAAAGATAAATAATTCGTGAGAATGAAATAATTATTACATTGATTATACAAAATTCTGCAGACATTTTTCTTCTACTTTCATAGAATTGATCAAGTGCTGGTAATGACATTTTTATTCAACATCAGGCCAAAAAAAACAGTTTTTCTATCGGTATTTTATCTTTTAGTTTACTTTTAAGATTTCTTCGACTAAATTTGAGTTCACTATTCTATCGATAAACGAAATTAAGAAAACTGTTGCCAAAAAATAAGATTATTGTAAAATTTTTCTTGCTTGTAAATCTCGTTTGTTCACAGTACAAAGAAAATTATGAACCCTAATTCAACTCACCTTTCATAGCTCAAGTACCAAGAATAGTATTGCATGTACATCTAAAAACAATAAAATTTAGTTTTCTATTTGAACTTTACTTCTCACATAAAATTGTATCAATTATATTTTTAAGATAGCATCGCAATGATTCTTTATCTTCACTTGTACATATACTTCCATTTTCTTGCACTTGTTCTTGACTTATCAATACTTCAATCAAATGTTTAAAACAAGAAACCACTAATTCTAAGGGTGTGGGTGTGGACATTCCATACTCGCTAAAACACGCACTCGCATCCACACCCTGCGTTGAGCAATTTCGAAGAGTATTGGAATTTCTTTAGTCAACTTTATGAATGTGAATAATTTGATAATATCCTTATTAAATATCTGAAATAGCTCAAAGATAGATCATCATATACTCTTGTCTTTTATCAATACTGTTCGAATTAAGATATGAAAAATAATGCGCTTTTCATCTGAAAAATATGCTTTGCTAGCGGGTGGGGTGTGGGTGGGCGTCGCTTCTCAAAAGAGATACTTTTGAAAAAAGGTAACAGCTACTTAATGAATTCCAACAACTACTTAATGGTTCTCAACCGCTACTTAATGATTCTACAGCTATTTAATGAATTCCTATAGCTGCTGAATGGTTTTATACAGCTACTTCATGATTCTACAGCTACTTAATGAATTCCAACAGCTACGTAATGATTTTCTATACCCACTGTCTGGTTTCCTGTAGGTACCAAACAGGGTGTGGATGTGGGTGTGGGTGTGGGCTGCGGGTGTGAATATGGATGAAGAGTAGATTCTTGTCTACACCCACACCCACACCCACACCCACATCCACACTCACATCTACACCCACACCCACA